CAAAGCACTGATTTCTGGTTTTGTGCCATTCTGTGCCACTGGGTCAGAACCGAGCCCCAACTGACCCTCCAGTAGGTTTTCAGAGGCCATGGATCACACGGGAGGAGACTGTCCATCCTTCTCCCTCGGAGCAGCTGGTGGATTCAAACCGAGTACCTCTGGGCTGGCAGTGTACTTTGTTATCACAGACGACGTGACCCTCAATCTCCACGACCCTCACTGTGGACCACTCTGAAAGGGATCACACTTGAAGGTCACTGACAAAACGGGGGTGTGAGAGCAAATGTGACGCAAAACTTGTTAGGTGACATCAGGTCGCTTGTGACTGACAGCGTCCCCTTGTCCAACAGCCCTAAACCCTGCTCTATCCAGTGCCAACTTTATTGTCTCTGACATACCTACCTCCATTACCCCAGTCACTGAATCAATCCACCTCATAGACGGTCTTCCCCTCCTGCGCTGTCCCTCCACCCTCCCAAGCATGATGCCCCCTCCAAGGACTGGTTCCTCTTTGTAACATGTGCAAAACTAGCAACCATTAAAACCCCCCAAAATCTGCCCCTGGATGCTGACCTGGTATGACTGCAGAACTTCTGGATTACAGGCCTTAGTCATCCTTCAAGACTGGAACTAACATTACCTCCCACGCCACAACTCTGAGCTAAACAAGAGACGGGTGAGGTGGTAACTAAAACCAAGAAGGGTCATCCTCCTAGAACGATCAACCATCTTAAGATCCAAATGGTGGCATTTGCACCCAGAGAAAAATCTCAAAGAGATCGCAAAGGATGAATGCAAAGTGGAGACATAGGGAAGAGAGGGGAAGAGTGAGGTTACAAAGAAAGGATAGGAACCAATGTCAGGAAACCAACATGTATGAGCTGTTGTTTCTCAAGTACTACAAAGCTTAGAACTGCATTGTTAAGTGCCATTGAGTCGTGGGCAATCATAGCTACTCTATGAACCAAAGCCCTGGACACCTCCTGTAGAACGTTCGTCCTTTCTCCAGGTTCATAGGGTTTCCAGAGGCAAGCTATTATGGAAGTAAATGCCACTCCTGCTTCCAAGCTTGTTTTAATTGGGAAGTTCCACCAAACACTGTCCACCATGGGTAACCATTCTCACATTTGACTCATCAGTGTCACAGTATTCGGGTTCACAGCAACCACAAGTTACCTCTGTACGGCAAGTGGACATACCAGGGTTATGCGACCTAGAAGAATGTTTCACCAAAAACAATTAAAGGCAGGCCTGAGGGCTGCAGAGTCGAGTCACCACCTTTGGCTTGGGAGCATGGCTTTCTGCCCGCTAGGCCTACTGCTCTATGCTGCTGCTGTTGTTAAGTGCTGTCAATTCGTAGAAGACTCATTGCGACCCTATGAACGCAAGTCCTGGACACCTGTGTAACTTTTGTCCTTTCTCCAGGTTCATAGGGTTTCCAGAGGCAAGCTATTATGGAAGTAAATGCCACTCCTGCTTCCAAGAACTGCAATACGGACATTATTAGTCCTCACGGTTCAAATTCACCAGCTGTCTCACGGGAAAAAATGGGCATTCTCTCCTCTCATGCAATTTGTTTGTTATGTGCCGTCGAGTCACTTGCGACTCATAGCGACCCTATGCACAACAGCCCTAAACTCTGCTCTGTCCTGTGCCAATCGCACTGTCTCTGACATTCCCATCCAAATTATCCCAGTCACTGAATCAATCCACCTCATAGAGGGCCTTCCTCTCCTGCGCTGTCCCTCCACCCTCCCAAGCATGATGTCCCTCTCTAAGGACCGGTCTCTCCTCACAACATGTCCAAAGTAAGTTAGATGGAGCCTCAGAATCCTTGCCTCCAAGGAGCCACCCGATTTAACCCTCTCCAGGGCAAATCTGTTTGTTTTCCTAGCAGTCCATGGTATTCTCAATACTCTTCTCCAGCACCACAGCTCAAAGGCATCAATTCTCCTTCTATCTTCCTTGGTCATTGTCCAACTCTCTGATGCATAACAAGTGATTGCGAAGACCATGGCCTGTATCAGACGCACCTTAGTCTCCAGAGAGACACCATTGCTCTTCAGTACTTTGTAGAGGTCCCTAACAGCAGACTTTCCCATGGCAATGCGCCTTTTAATTTCCTGGCTGCTGGTGCCAAGACTGTTAACTATGGAGCCAAGCAAACTAAAGCTGTGTATAATCTCAATCTCTTCACCATCCATCCTGATGCTGCCAATTGGTCCAGTGGTGAGAATCTTTGTCTTCTTGACATTGAGCCTCAATCCATATTGTAGGCTGCAGTCCTTGACACTCTGCAGCAGGCGCTTCAGGTCCTCTTCAGTTTCAGCAAGCAGGGTTGTGTCATCTGCATAATGCAGATTGTTGATAAATCGTCCACCAATCTTGACCCCCACATTTCTGCTCATAGAGCCCAGCCTCCCAGATAATCTGTTCTGCATATAGGTTGAAAAAATGAAAACCCTATGTAAACTAAAAATCACTCAATTTAGTCTCTGAAAACCGGCTGGCAGGTTAGTTATGAGTTGCCTCCACCTCAACAGCACATAGTTTTAAAAAATAAAAAGGATTAGATGTGTATATTGACATAGGATAACGTACATTAAATGGAAATACCTGAAACAGGGTTTCTCCACAGCAGGGTGCCCTGTGCACTGCAGTGTGTGTGTTCTCAGCCTCACCCCAGCTGTGACTAGAAATGTCTGTGGATGCTGCCAGCCGCTGCCACAGAGCGAGCTGCCTTCAGCTAAGAAACACCGGCGTCCGTGCTCTCACTGTATACAAACATTATAAACACCCAAGGAATAATTCTGCCCGTCTGTTTGTTGACATAGCTCTGGACGCCTCTACCATGAACTCTTCACAGGGGAGGAGTTCCGTGCTTGGGCTCTAAGAGCTACCAAGACAGCAATACAGACAGGATCACACTTGCAGTAGAGAAGGAGCTTGGAAAAATCATAGTTCTGCCAGGGGTGCTAACCTGTAACTTCCCTCATACCCAACATGAGGAGGGTCCCGCCCCACAGCATCATCAGACTCATAAAGGGTTAGAATATTACTCGTCAAGGGCTAGAACATTACCCAGCACTGGGCTTCTGCTATGCAAGGCACAAGGCAGGAGGCAGCCTACAGAACTGCCAGAATAAATAATTCATAAGATCAAACACACTATCCTAAGTCCTTTTGGATCAAGTATACGGTGTTTCAATTTTCTTATCTACTAATTCTCCCCTTCTGTCAATAAAGGACTTCTGGGGGCCCGGGGCTTCAGAAATAAGCTAGTCTGCAAGGTGTGTAGTTTGAACTTGCCCGCTGCAGCAGGAGAAAGATGAAGCTGTCCGCTTGTTAGGTTCACACTCAAGGAAACTCTGGAAGGCCATTCTTCCCTATCCTAGGATCTCCCTGAGTCAGAAGGGAACAGATAGAAGGGCTGGGCTTTAGGGTAGAAGTTACTATGAAGCAGTGGTGGTTGTCACTGATTGCCTTCAAGCTGACTCACAGGGACCCTATGAACAAAAGGCCTGAAGCTCCAAGTTCATAGTTTCTGGAGGCACATTGTTTAGGAAGTGGATGCCACTCCTACCACCAGAGAATTAAATGCACATGTCCTCTATCTTGTATGCTCCAGGGGCAGGAGGGAGGGGCAAGGAGTTTGTGTGCAAAGTCCAACCTAGTGTGATATGCTGACATCAAGCAAGACAAGAAAACACAGAAGAGGCACCTAAATTACTGCTGAAGAAACTGTTGAAAATGAATTCATTTATAAAGAATCAAATTTAAGCTAAATCCTGAAACATCATATAATCATGATCTCCTCCCCCTTAAAGATCATAAAAATCTTTTATGAAAACTCTGATTTGGGGATTAACTGGGGGATAAACTTCGGCCCTCCCTTGCAGACCAAGGGCTGTATCTTTTCGGGATGTACCTGGTCGGGCTGTTCTCCCGTCCCGTGCAGGCAAGTACAAGCAGAATGAAGTGCGGGGTGGAATAAGACTCACCCCCCAGGATCTTGCATGTTTGAGACAGTTTTAAAAGACCCTGATGTCAACATCCAAAATAAACTTTATTAAATCAGGGTTGGGATAAGACTGAGGAAAAACTGGATAAATTATGTATACTGCATTGAAACAGATGAGGGAGAGAACTGTTTGAATGAGATATATGATTGGGTATTATGGTTATGACAAGAGTCCAGAATGAAGGTTGCATAGTGGAGTGTACTCAAGGTGGAGGGGATTGTATACCAATGAAGGAATTTTTCTTTCACTTTTCAAAGAGAAGAGTGAACTGCGGGGGAGAGGTAGGCAGGGAGAGAAGTGCAACAATGAATGGAAATCCAAAATCTCTGTAAATATTCATTAAAATCAATAAAATAATTTTTTTTAAAACCCACAAAACAAACAAAAAAACCCCCACTTTAAACCCAAGCCAGTTGGTATAGAGGTGATTCCAACTCTTGGTGAGCTCGGGTCGTAGAGAACCGCTTTCCACAGGTCTTCTCCACACTTTGGTTTGCAGACCACCAGGACGTTCTTGTGAGTCACCTGTGGGCGAACTTAAACTCTACATCTTGTCAGGTCATCAGCGGCTTGTTAGGTGCTGTCAACTACAATCCACAGTAACCCTACGAACACCGGTCCAGCGCCACGGTCCCGATCGCCCACCACGCTCAAGCCCACCGTTGCAGTCATTGTGTCAATCCATGCCATTGAGGGCTCCCTCTCTTTCGCTGACCTTTCCACAACATGGAAAATGACATCCAGTATGGACAGCGAGCAGTCACGTGTTCGGTCATATGCACTATCCAGGGCCGTGTCTTTCTTGGGCACCATAGGGTTGGCTGCAACCTACAGCTATGTCCAAGAGACCCACAGCCTGTCCAATCACGCGCTCTCCTTAGGAAGGCTACTGTCTCCTCACTGTGTCACTCCAGCTCCTCCAGGCTCTTCCTCGACCTCTGCCGACCCTGTAGCTCTCCACACATGATGTCCTTCTCCAAGAACCGGCCCCTCCTCCAAAGTCTCACCACACCTTTTTTTTTATTATTTTTGTGCGAGTGTACGGTCAAATCAGCTCTGACTGGTACAGGAGGAGATTGTCCCTCCTTCCCCGGCAGAGCATCTGGTGGATTCGAACCGTGCACCTCTGTGATTGTAGTTGCAGCTCCTTGCCATAAGAACACCAGAGCTCTCCTACCACACCTGTTTCTAAGGAGAATTACTCCCTCCCAGACAAGCTCATCTGCTGTTTTTCTGGCAGCCACTGGCATAGCCAATACCCTTCCCAAGACCAAAACCCAAAAGCCTTCATTCTTCCACTGTTCAGCTGTCACTGAAGCAACTGATGATACCATGGTTGGGGTCAAACACATCTTAATGTGCAATCTTTGCTTTTAGCATTTTAGAAAACTTCTCAGCAGCAGACTTTTATAAACGCTAGGGCTGGTGGGATCGGGAGGACAAGTGAATCTCTGAGAAGGTTCTCTGGGTAGACTGTTCTCCCTCGTGCATCTCCTCTGAAGGTGTTAAAGGCCCATCATTTTTAGAAATCTGTCTGAAATGGAGAGCTGCCCTCCTAACTCAAAGTCATCACTTCCCTGGCAGTTTAACTCCACGAGAGAAAGATGGGCAATCACCTCCTGTGGAAGTTACAGCCTCAGAGAAGTTGCCGGAGGGTCAGCTAAGAGTTGGTTCTGATGCAACTGCAACGAATGAGTGAGGGCGTCTAAGAAGGACTTTATTCCTACTGTGAACTAAGGAAATCCTCATGCTTCCCTTTGCCCAAAAATAAAACAGAATACCCAGGATTAGGGGGAGCTCTGGTGGCCTAGTGGCAAGAAGCTGCACTGCAATCCCAGACACATGAGGTTCGAATCCACCAATGCTCTGCCGGAGAAGGAGGGGCCATCTCCTCCTGTACCAGTCAGATCCAATTTGACGGTACACACACACACACACTAATAAAAATAAAATTTTTTTTAAAAAAAGAATACCCAGGGTTAACACAGAACAAGGCTGCACAATCACTTTACCTTCCACAGTCTTACAAGCATTTATAAAGAGATGGCAGAGCCCTGTTTTCAACTGGTGTAAAAGAACGCACGATGGGCCTTTCCAAACAGACAACTCTATTCCCATCAATTTTTCACAGAAGAACGAAAATAAGCTTACAAATTCTGATTGTGGCACAATCGGTAAAAGTTCAGCATGCCTGAATTAAGGTTTGTGTCTAACATCGCTTTCTTGGTCTGGTATCATGGATTAAGGTGGGGCCAGGAGGGCAATGAAAAGACAAAATATTTACCTCTATTTTATACTGTATTGAGATTTATAGCTGTTATGTGCCATCAAGTCACTTGCGATCCATAGTGACCCTATGCCCAATAGGCCTAAACCCTGCTCTGTCCTGTGCCAATCGCACTGTCTCCAACACACCCACCCTGATTACCCCAGTCACTGACTCAATCCACCTCATAGAGGGCTTTCCTCTCCTGTGCTGTCCCTCCACCCTCTCAAGCATGATGTCCCTCTCCAAGGACCAGTCCCTCCTCACAACATGTCCAAAGTATGTCAGACAAAGCCCCAGAATCCCTGCCTCCAAGGAGCACCCCAGTTTAACCCTCTCCAGGATGAACCTGTTCATTCTCCTAGCAGTCCATGGTACCCTCAATATTCTTCTCCAGCACCACAGCCCAAAGGCATCAACTCTCCTTCTATCCTCCTGAGTCATTGTCCAACTCTCTGATGCAGAGACCATGGCCTGTATCAGATGCACCTTAGTCTCCAGAGTGACACCACTGCTCTCAGTACTTTGGAGAGGTCCCTGACAGCTGACTTTCCCATCGCAGTATGCCTTTTTAATTTCCTGGCTGCTGTTGCCAAGAGTGTTGACTGTGGAGCCAAGAGATTTATAGTACCAAATCAAAACACAAAAGATATTACTGGGTTAACGTCCTCAAAGCAGATTTTATTTATACATATCTTCAAATGAATATGGAACTTTTAAAAACCCATTCCCAAGTGGACAACTTCAGGACCGCCATGGGGACCAAGGGCCTCTGAGGAAAACAAATGCAAAGATGTTGCTGTCTGCTAGCTCCCCGCGCTGACACCAAGCAATCCGTGTAGTCTCTAAGCTCACAGGATCTTCAAAGTGGGTGTGTCTGAACTGGCCCTCTGAGAACCGTTCAAATCAAGGAACCATTATGAAAAAAGATTTCTGAAAAGGTTTCTAAAATGTGTGCAGCCTTTGAAAATAAGATTTCAAAAATGTATGTCTGAGAAAGATTGGCAAAGCTTGGTACAGTGTTTGTACATAAAGAGAAACCCACAGTCCCGGTGACTTTTAAACTCCTGGGAAACTAAAAACAACTTCGAGTGCCACAGCATCGGGGATGCCCTTTTCAGAGTTTCCTCTTTATTTAAAAGAAATCGGTTCAGACTGTCCCCCTTTATGGGAAAAAAACAAAACAAAACAAAACCACAACCCTAAACCCCTTCTGAAATGGAAATGCTGTGCAAAAGAAAACAACACTGTACAAGTCATGGTGAATGAGGATCTGCGCCTGGGAGCAGCAGGGTCGGAACCGGTCCCGCTTGGGAAGGGACAGTTCACGCAGGAGATGTGCTATGTGAGTGCATGAGAGGAAGCCTGCTCAGCTAAGTGAAGTAGACAAGGGTCGGCAGGCAGGGGTCACTCGCCAGAGCGGCAGCAGGCTCGAAAACCACACTGCAAGTTCTGGCATCCGCTGGCCGTTTCAGCATGAGGACCTGTGTGGAAACAGAGAAATGTGAAAGGACGAATTTCTTTGCAGTCACATACAAACAATCTTGCTTATGCAAAAGCTCAAAGAGGAGTCTTATGGGGTTTTCGTATTTTTTTTTAACACTAGTAACATTTTTATCATAGAAGCAAAGTTTCTGTGTCTAGAAGCAAAATTTCTGTGTCTATTTTTAAAAATGTTCAAACAGGGGAGCTCTGGTGGCCTAGTGGCAAGGAGCTGCAACTACAATCCCAGAGACGCACGGTTCGAATCCACCAGATGCTCTGCCGGGGAAGGAGGGGCAATCTCCTCCTGCACCAGTCAGATCGGATTTGACGGTACACACACACACAAAAATAATAAAAAGATTAAAAAAAAAAAGTTCAAACAAAAAAAAA